GCCAGCAGGCCCCCAAGAGATCCGAAGAGACCCCGAGAGGCCCCCAGGCGGCCCCCAACAAGCCCCATGGGGCTTTAAAATTGGTTCCAGGAGAGGCGCCCGAGAAGCATGCCAAGAGACCCCGACAGGTAACTAGTCAAGTAGACTCTGACCCCTATCCCAGGAGGCCCCCAGGGGGTCCAGCTGCCCTCTTAAGAGGGCCCCAAAACGGCCCCCAAAGGGCCCTTGACGGTCCAACAGGCGTCCCAAGAGAGCACCAACATTGTCATATATGCTTCCAAAGAGTTCCCCACAATTCGGCTAATTGCCTCATCGCTTCTGCACGCGACATTGCAACCCCGCTTTTTTCTCATCATCGCAATTTGCTGTAACGAGTAGGCGCGTAGCTTTGCTGCACAAGCTGTGAGGGCAGAGCGGCATGCACCCGCAAATAGAAGGTTGCACCATTCCCGCTCGCATTGCAGACAGTGCATGCTTCACGGTGCGTCTCTATGCTGCCAGGTGCGTAGCTTGGCAGAAATGTGAGATGGCAGTGGGATACACCCGCATATATCAGGGGGGGGCCATTGCCGCTCGCACCGCAGACCTTGCCTGGTACATGTTGCTCCACATGGAAACATATTCTAAGCGTTGCCAACGTCGCCTAAGAGGGCCCAAGGGCAGCCCGAGAGGGCCCCAGGATGCATCCAAGATGGCCCCAGGGTCCCACGAGGATATCTAGGCGACCAGCATAAGTCAAACCATGCGGCAGTCTTATTAGTAGTCATCGTGTCATTTCTGTCCTCTCATGGTGAATCCAAGAGGGCTGCGCGGGACTCAGATGCCCCCGAAAGGACTCCAAGATGGTCCCAAAAGAGCCTCACGACAGACCAGGACAGCCCAAAGACGCTTCCAAACAGGGCTCAAGGGAGTTCGCAGAGGCCGAAGACGGGCCGAGAAGGCCCCAAGATGCCCAAAGAGGATCGCAAGACTGCCCCAAGATGGCTCCTAGAAGACTCGTCCGCGACTTCCATTGAGCTCGTCGTGAAGTCTTTGAAGTCACAAAGCATGTGCAAACGCTGTATTCTTAGCCGCGTGAAGCGAACAGTTCTTATGCCCCAGCGCTTTAGTATGCTTCGGGGGACAAGAACTTTAGCTGCTGAAGCCAATCAGACCA